TTATAATAAATATTGATTTATTTTACCACAGACAGTGGAGCAAAAGAAAGAGCTAAGCCTTATTTAAGGACATTTACCATTGCCGACCCAAAAATACCATTATACCAAGCGAAACTACATAGAACAGCTTCTGCACCCATTAAACCACACAAACGATATACCGACAGACGAGAAAAATCTGCCCAGCAAAGGTCAGGAGAAATTGTACGTCGAAAAACAACGACAAGTAAAGACCATGAAGCTAGAGTTGTAGGACAGAAAACTTCACTTGGCATGGAACAAGGCGCAGATGGGAATTACATTCCCAAACCAGAGACTCCAAGCGAGCCTTATAGGATTATGACWTACTTTCCTGTTGATGGAAAAGCACCTAAAACAATTGAAAATTATAATTCTAATAATTACAATGACCGTATTCAAAGAAGGAGTTACCCAGARCAAGATTCTCAGWGTTCTTCYRCAACTTTATCACCAAATGCAAGTGCRACATCGCTRCCRAAAAGTTGCCCTTCCTGCGGTGGAGGGATGCTTGTTTCTAGCACTCCRGGTTTACATGGGACTGGTTCKAAACAGSAACCAATKGCTACAKCTTTACGATGCCGTAAATGCGGCAAGAACATGAGCATTAACGTTAGTAACAGTAGTTTACCAGAAAAGTCTCGAACAAATCAAAAAAATCACCAAACATCTCACTTGAAACCTTCTAGTTCTTTACCTCCGAATGTAAGTTTRTCAACACAACCAAATCATATTGTAAATAGTGACTATGCCAATGATCTTCGTAGTGGGACTTTGAAGGCTTCGTCATCGGGTACATTGACAGAAAGTGATATTCATCTAGAGAAAGAAAAAGCAAGAGAATTTGCAATAAAACTTTATAGATTGAATGGTTATACTAAAGATGAAGTGGCACCAGAGCTCAGTAAAAAGTAAGTTTTACAATGTAGACTGGAGGAGCTTATTGCATTTTTGAACAAGGCTGGCCAGAACTAAAGAGAATGCCATTATAATAATTTATTATTCTAGTTCTGACAGAAGAATCAATTTCTAAATTTCACCCGATAGCATAATGACAAAATTGCAAAATTACTGACAGAAATATTGTGACAAAAGACAGTGAAAAAATTATTATATTATTGGCATTTAAAACTCAAGCTGCAATACTCACTGCAGAGATACATTGTATATCACAACTAGTTGTTGTTTAGTATATTGATTCATYGTTTTATTTCATTTTCAGCACAAATTTCAGCAAAATGGTGGCCAAGGAATATCTAAAACTGTTTGACTTTAGCAATATGACTGTTGTGGTAGCTCTAAGAGAGTTTATTAAGCGTGTTCTACTTGTCGGAGAGACGCAAGAACGAGAGAGATTGCTTATCCCATTCTCTGAGAGATATTATGAATGYAATACCCCAGAATATGGAACCTCTGGTAAGAAAAAACATCTTTGTTTTGATAATCATTGGTTTCCATTCATTCATTCTTATTATTTTGAAATCATTGATTTACATTTCGTTTTGTTTATTGTTGTTGTTTATTGCAGATGCAATTCACACTCTGGTTTGTGCGACTTTACTGCTAAACACAGACTTACATGCAGAGGTTAGTTACATTGTAAAAAAAATCTGTTTTCCTCAGAGTTTTGTATTTAAAATATTCAAATACATTTACTAACTTTTTTTCTGCAGAAAATAACCAGAAAGATGACATTTACAGAATTCAATGATAATTTAGCTGGTTTGTGTGACAACGGTGACTTTCCCAAAGAATTGTTAAAGGTATTTAGTTATTAACATACAGTCGAATCTCGTGGACACTCTTGTTTAATGAAAAGCTCTAGTTGTGGACAGCTTCTCAAAACACTGTTTGTTTTGGCTTTTGTACACAATTTCTCATACAGTAGGCAGACAGCTCTTCCTTTTCCCAGGGGTTTCCATTTACAATAGATTCAATATTAATATTGTAGACTGTACTTTGTAGGAGTCCATTTTCAATGAATGAGCAAAAGAGTTGATTAAGAAGTCTCATATTGTTACATAGCTAATGGTGATGTATGTTTTGTCCAGGCAGTCTACCAAGATATTAAACAAGCACCATTGGAATGGAGTGGAGAGTAAGTCRYGAYTCACATTTGAAGGCACTGTTTGTTTTAAAAATAGTCATTTCAGCCTATGTMATTCACATACAGTACTAAGTATATCCGCCTATATATATTCTGCCTATATTCCTACTTAGAAGACTAATAATTCGTCATTTCATACTCAGTCGTGGCAACAAATTAATATTCCCCATGTCGTACAGCCTAAATTCTTAATCTCTGTTCTCTGATAAATGGCATTGATGATTCAGACGTTTAAAATGATACATTTTGATTTTGTTATTATAATTTCAGAAAGCCACCAGGTTCAGCACCAGGGACTCCTAAACCTTCCAGGAGTACTAATGGCATTAGAGTAAGATGTGAATTATATTAATTAAAATGTCTTTGATTAAGTTTTGTTTCTTTGAGTTTGCTCATCCATTGATCTTCTTTACAGGCTGTACCAGGAAATCCCTTTCTAGAGGTAAAGATTGTTGAGAATTGAAAAAATAGTATTAATGTTGATAATTTAATAATAATTTAATAATTTATATAGCGCTATTTAGCAATGTCAGATCAACAGCGCTTTACAATCGTTCAAATGTTAAAACTATTTACAATGTGTCATATATACAGAATAAGAAATAATTGATTGCCATTATACCACGACAATACTGCATAAAAACGTTGTTCAACACAACAACATTGCARAAGAATTGAACAAGACAATTTTCAACACAATTTTTAGACTCTTATTTTATCTCACAGATTCAATGTGATGCGAATGACAAAGTTTACAAAGAAGGGTTGYTGTACAGAAAGGTCACCATGGAGTCTGAAGGGAAGAAAAGTAAGCCATGAAAATTGTATTATTTGTCCTACATATTKCATTAGTTTGGCACTAATATTAGTTTTTTTTTTCCTTAAGATGATATTTCCTTGTTTATTTACAACA